TCGGTACCTGGATTGCCTAGGATCCAGGATAGGGATGCTGATGGGTAATGTTTAAAGATTGTAGAGGGAAGGGTGGATTGTATCACGAAGCAGGAGATGGAACCTTATGTAAGCCTTTTGGAGATGAGCAGCTCCACTGGACATGTGGATGCTGCAAATCCAGAGAAATGGAGTGAAGGCCTAGCTGCTGTGCTACAGCTTGCAGACATCTGCATGCAGAGTATACCTGCTGCAGATCTGCCTGCCTGCTCTCTGCCTGTGGGCTGGCAGGGGACTGAAACTTACACAAGTTCTGCAGGGCTTTTAAAAGATTGTTTAAACCTAAGATGAAGTTTTAATAAAATCTGCCTGTATTCTTGCAGGTATCTGTGCACTGGTGGCTCAGAAAAGCACAGTAAGCAAATGGAAGGACAGAGAGAACAAACTGGATGCATCCCTCTGTCAGTTCTTCATGTATGCACGTGCATACAGGTACCCATGTCAACATAGAGGGCTAAGCAGCCCTTGGTCCCAGGGGGCAGCTGGTGTGGACGAGGTATACAGTTATGCACACACATACAGTTATGCACACACATACATGTGTATCTGTATTTGCATACATTTATTTGGATTCCTTTTGATGTTTTTCAAATTCCCTGCAACATCAGCGTTTTATTTATGAGTCCCAGTGTCTTCTCCAGAACTGTTAGAGGGGCTACTACCAAATACTGCAAACTATGACACTCACCTCTGTCTGTCACCACAGTGATGATTCCATACCTTTGTACAGAAGTAAGGCTATAATATATAATGCTGTTATCACCGCATCACCAATCAGCCAGGTGTCTGGTAATCTAGGTAAGCAAGGTGGGGCAGGAACTGCATAAATCAGCATTTAGTTACCACCTGCAGAGGGGTAATAGGATCTGGACCTTTGCCAATAAACACCTCTGCACAAAAGGTGGAGCTCATTGCACTGACTAGACCCTTAGAAATAGCGAAAGGGAAGAATATAAACATCTGTACAGACTCAAAATATGCATTTGGGGTCGTACATGCCCATGGAGCCATTTGGAAAGAAAGAGGACTATTGAGCTCGCAAGGGGAAAACATCAAACATGCACAAGAAATAGTGAGACTGTTGGAAGTGGTCCAACTACCTGAGGAGGCAGCAATCATGCACATCAAGGCACACCAGAAGGTGAGCTCAGAGTTGGAGGAGGGAAATGAGCTGGTGGACAGAGAGGCAAAAGAAGTGACAAAAGGTGAGATAACAATTGAAGGAGCTTTAATTCTTGAGGGGAAAATTTCCTTGGAAGGTAAGCCAGATTACAGCAAAGGTGACCAAAAATTAATCACAGACACAGAAGGAATATTCAGTAAGGAGGGGTGGGCCAGCACAACACAGGGAAGAATAACTGCCCCCTCCTCTCTGTTATGGTCACTAATCAGGAGCAAGCATCAAAAAAAAAAAAAAAAAACCCGCACTGGAGGCTAGATGCCTTATATAAATATCTAACCAGGCAAATTGTATCTAGAAACTTGTATAGTACAGTACAACAGGTGACTCAACCATGTAACCTTTGCCTCCAAACTAATCCCAAAAACACTCCCAAGCTTGAGATGGGCCAAACTGGGAGGGGCAATGGGCAAGGACAGCGATGGCAGATTGACTTTACAGAACTCCCAAGAAAAACAGGGTATAGATATTTGTTGGTATTAATGGATAGCTTTTCAGGTTGGGCAGAAATCTTTCCAACTAGAAGTGTGAAAGCCTGGGAAGTAACACAATTGATGCTGAGGACATATGTCGTGACATGGAGCGAGGCATTTGTCATTTTGAAGCCCATCCAGATACTACTCAGAAAACTGTACTTGTATATGTTGGCCAAGGCTGCGTATGCCTAAGAACTGCTTATACTTTTGTAAGGATAGATAATGATAACATAACTGCTAAGACTCATTCTAATATTTGTATTTGTAATTTTGTTAGAATTATTGGATGTGACTTCACATATTTAGCACCAGTCATATCCCACCAGTTGATAAAGTCTAATTACACAATGTACCACACATTATCACCTGCACCCATCGGGATTGACTTTACACTAGTGAGGCAACTGTTGAAACACCAAGACCTAATTAACATTTTAAAAGGAATCCAAGAAAACGGAAAGAAAACTTCGATTACTGTTCATCATGACAAGGAAGAAATAAGCAAAGCCTTGCTAAGGGTAAGACAAGATGTAAGCCATTGCTGGTGTGATGTACTTTTCGGATGGTCACCCAGTGCAACTGGCATTCTAAATACATTGTGTCACCCCACTGCTGTTTTTCTAGTATTAGTTAGTATTAGCTTTCTGTTGTCATTGGATTATTTGTTTGGAATTGGAGGATGTTACAGCACATAATGATTTTGACCTCTCTATCAAACGCACATGGTAAAGCACCAAAAGATACCTTTCACAGGAGTTGGTCAAAAGAACTTGTATGATAAGTAAAAGAATTTACTAATTTTATAGAAAAGGGGGGAATGATGCGAAGAGTTAACCAAGGTACAGGGGGTGTTAGGGTTAAGCCACTTGCTTAACAATGTAATTGCTTGCCCATACTCAACAAACATTTATCATGCTCATTATGCCATGCTAGACCAGGATGGGAGGACAAGGCTACTGATGAGAGGAAGGAACAGTAACTGACTCCTGCTTTCTGGTCCCTGAAACTGGCCAAAATCAGATTTGTAGTTTGGACAATGACCAAGTCACCAGGGAACATGTGCAACTATTAGAGGTAAAAAGTTTAAGCCAAGGAAGACTCATCTATTTCATCTTGAGACCCTTGCCCATGACCACCAGGAGTTACTGTGCAGGAGCAAAGGACCTTTTAGCTCATTATAATACAAAGCCGGGATAGGACATGAATATGTATAGGCATGTTGTGTAACCTAATGAATATGTATAATTGTAGAGAATAAATGTGAGAGACAAGGTTGCGACGCGCATGCCTTTGGGGGAACAATCCCCCATGTGCCTCAGCGCTGAATAAAGCATACGTACTTTACAACTTTAACGAGTTGTGGAGTCTATGCACGTATCACAGGCCAGTAAAATACATTTTGGCTTGCCCAAAAGGACTGCCCCCATTCTCTCTTCCAAAAATGTAGGTCTTCCTTTTTTTTTCTGAGGGGAAAATTGAGTTTCTTCTCAAGTTTAAGTGGAACCTCTTGTGTTCCAGTTTGTACCCATTGGCCCTTGTCCTATCATTGTTTGCCACTGAGAAGAGCCTGGCTCCATCCTCGTGACACTCCCCCTTTATATATTTATATACACTAATAAGGTCACCCCTCAATCTCCTCTTCTCCAAACTATAGAGACCCAGCTCCCTCAGTCTTTCCTCATAAGGGAGATGCTCCACTCCCTTCATCATCTTAGTTGCCCTGCGCTGAACTCTCTCCAGCAGGTCCCTGTCCTTCTTAAACTGAGGGGCCCAGAACTGGACACAATATTCCAGATGTGGTCTCACCAGGGGAGAGTAGAGGGGAAGGAGGACCTCTCTCGACCTACTAACCACCCCCCTTCTAATACACCCCAGGATGCCATTGGCCTTCTTGGCCACAAGGGCACAGTGTCGGCTCGTGGTCACCCTGTCGTCCACTAGGACCCCCAGGTCCCTCTCCCCTACACTGCTCTTC